CGATGATTGTCACGATGCTTACATGAAAATACACTATGGATGTTGATATGGTAGATGAGCATAATTAATTTTTTTAGTTATGTTTAAAGGTCTAATTTATTTTTTGCAAAGTTTGAGGATTTTTTTATTTTTTAGAAAAAACAAAAAAAATTAATATAAAATATAAAAAACTATTAAGAGATTCAATACATTAAATATAAAAATACTACAAAATTAATTATTAAAAATTTCAATTTAAGGACCATTTTGAATATAAAAAAAGTTCAGGGGTCATAATTAGTTTTTGTAAAAGTTTGAGGACTTCAAATATAATTAAGTCAAAAAATTGTTGTTAGAAGAATTTGAACGTGTAAATTATGTTAAAAATCTAGATATCGTATTTTTTTAATTTTCTGAATTTTTTTTATGTTTTCACTTATTTATGTTTTTATTTTCTTTATTTTATAACTAAACATATATTTTTAATATTTTCTATTTTCTAAAAAAATAAAAATGGTTTATATTTTTTCGAACCAAATGGATCCTTATAATTTCGAAATTAAATCTTTAAAGATGGAAAATTCTACGTTGCACGTCACATTCGCAATGTACCACTAAAGCGACGTAGCGAAACGTATCACAAACAAATTTGTTTTTTATGTAAATATTAAAAAGTATAAGAATTTATTTAAAAATTAAACATTAATTAAAATTTAATTTTACTTTTAATAAAATTGTAATTTAATAATGATTCTTATTAAAATAATAATAATTAATTTGAGTGATTTAATTTGTTTAGAATTAGTTTTTTTTAATTATTTAAGGGTCGAGAGTGGCCATCAGCAGCATCACTATCGGAGCCAACAACTCACCGAAAAATAATTGACAACAAATTTAGCGTTGCAATCACCCAATTCACCGCCGTCAAGTTCGTCATCTCGAAGGAGCAGCTTCGGCCGTCAACCCGCGACTGTTTCCATTATTTTTACTTGTGTTGGCTTTCTAAAAATGAACCCGTGACCCTCGGTCGTCCATCTCCAACCTCTGATGACCACCACGACCGCCAATCATCATTAGTTTCCAACAGTTGTCGCGTGTAAGTTCCTCTACAAGAAACTCGTCTATTGTCTTCTTCCTTTGCACAATTGTCGCAGGTTAGTTTTAGTTTTTATTTTGGTTTAATACCAAAATAAGTACTCAAACTATACATGTTTTCCCGAATAGGTGCCTAAACAATTTTTTGACTCATCTCGATTCCTAATGTTACAAACGTTACCACTTTATGTGCACGGGCCATCAACGGTGTTAATTTCCTTCGTTAAGTGATATGTGTCCCAATATGGTAATTTTAAAAATTTTATTTAAAAATTAAAAATTGAAATTATATATTTTTTAAAAAAGAAAATACAAAAAATTGAAAATAACCTCAAAACTTTGAAAACCTTCATTTCAACCCCTAAACCCACATCGACTACCGCCCTTTACCATCGACGAAGCTCCACCCGACCTCATATCTCACCGACAACCAAAACCCCTATGAAACTGTGACCAGTCGATGATCGATCGGCGATGAATCGACATTTTATACCCGCAAACCCTATGATAAAAATCGTGATCCCACGCGACTCCGACAGCTAATCGATAACAACTACGGTGACGTATGATTAGGAGGATGGCAGGGACTATGTCGAAGATGGTGGTCGTGGCCGGAAAGGACGACGATGACGGGTTAAGGTTAGGGTTTGGGAATTTCAGGGATTTGGGAGCTTTTTATAATTTAAGAGAAATTAATGTTTTTTTATAAATATAATAATATTTTTAATATTTAAACAAATAAATTTTAAAATCACCATATTGTGACACGTGTCACTTTACAGAGAAATTAACGTCGTTGACGGTCCGGGCACCTAAAATGATAACGTTAGACGCCTAGATTAGTCAAAAAATAGTTTAGGCACATATTCGAAAAATAAGTATAGTTTGGGCACTTATTTTAGTATTAAGCCTTTTGGATTTAATGGTTAAATTACATTATAACTCCCTTATTTGTGTGTTATTTCCAAAGGTTAAATTGCATGGAAAACCCCTATAATTTCTTCCATTTAAATTTTAGACAAAAGTGTGTGTATGTTTTAATAGACATGGCTAAATTATACTACCCACCCCATACTTATTTTATTTTAAATGGTCAAATTTCATGAAAATCCCCCATAGTCGTATGTTTATGTTTAAATAAACATGGCTAAATTACACTACCCAACCCAATACTTGTGTTTTAATTTAAATGGTCAAATTTTTGAAAAAACCCCCACACTTTCCCCTATTTAGATTTTAGACTTTTAGGTTTTAAATATTCTATAATTTTTAATTTATTTTTATTTTGATAATTAATTTCAATTTTGTTCTTTAATTTTAATTAATAATAATAATATTTTTAATTTATTCTTCAATTTTTAACTTGATGCTAATAAAGTCCGATCTTAAAACTTTTTTTAATAGTTTATTTTAATAAATGACAATCGATTATTATTAAAAGAACAATTAATTTTTATTAGTATTAATTTTAATTTTAATTTTAATTATATTTAGATATTAATTGTGATCATATAATATTAATTGTAATTTTATATTATTAAAAACAATTAATTTTTATTAATAATAATAATAATATTTTAATTTATTTATTAATTTTTATTAGCATTAATTTTATATTATTTTATATTAGTTGTTATCATTAATCTTAACAATTTGATACTTGATATTAATTGTGATTATTTAAAACATGATAATATTAATTCTGATATGTAAAATTTAATACTGATCATTAATTTTAATTTTTATGCTTAATTTTAACTTGATATTCATTTTTATCATTGCTTTTGATTTAGTATTGATTTTGATAAAATACATTTTTCCTTGAATTTTATAACTATTTGAACTAGTTAATGGATCTCAATTTGACTCCTGCAAAACAAGCAAAAATGGAAGGTAAGAAACAACTCGATATGAATTCAGGAAATATCAGTATTGAGATACATTCATTGTGATTAATTAAAAGAGTTATGTATGTTTAGTGTTGTAGTTAAAATGTTAAACTTCTCATCATGAAAGAAAATTTAATTTTTATTTATTAATTATAACAAAAAAATTTGTACTTTATGTAATGTTTATGTTGCTAATTTAATGAATTTTTTATGGATATCTATATTTTGTATAACTGTTATTTTTATAATTATTATTTATTTTATGTTTATGTAGGAATGAGATGAAGTTAGACATAAGGAGGAAAGTCCAATAAGTCTTCATACTATTTGGAATAATTCATAAGTTGTGCGTGATATTAATTTTGATCATATATCTCTTGTTAATTTTTTGAAAGGATCTACAACTAAACCATTGGTAGGTATTACAAATTACAAATATATATAAAAAAATAAATGGTAAAAAATAATACAAAAATATAACATAATTACACATTTATTTACTTGATATATGACACTTGTGTTGGCTATATCATTTTGTGACAATGATATGCATGAAATTTCTCAATTTTCCAGAATTGATATTGCTCGTTAAATTTGAATTTAATAAATGTTTGACATCCAAATATATTTATTGGTTTTGGTTCACATTTTCTATTAGGTAAGATGTTTCACTTGTTCTTCCTAAATCCCTCGTTTTGGATAGACCAATTTCTTTGAAATTATGTGACCATCACTTCAACTTCTTATTGTTGAATCCATATGAACTCCAAAACCTTTAACTTTTGCATAAGTATAGTAGGATTCAACACAACCATCCAACGACTTCCACTTGAGCATATCCATGTCATTTTCATCATAATCTTGTTGTTCATTTCCTATATTGTCCCAGGTATCCTCATTGATGAAGTAATCAATGCTCTTGTCATCGGATGTATGTTTACCATCATCAACATTGGATCCAAGTCATTCTTCTTCGGTATAAATTTCACTACTTGGTTAATTTATTTTGTCATCTTCATTAAGATTACAATTTACCATCTCCTTGTTCTCAATCTTCCCCTCATCATCCATAATCGTTAATATGCTGCAATTTAAGATTATTGACAAAAAATAATATTAAATCGATATGAATGATCAATATTCATAGCAAGTCAAATGTACGTATAAAAATTAATATTATATGATCACAATTAATATCAAATTAAAATTAATACTAATAAAAATTAATTATTTTTTTAATAACAATTGATCGCCATTTATTAAAAAAACTATTACAAAAGTTTAAGATTCAACTTTATTAGCATCAAGTTAAAAATTAATAAATTAATTAGAATATTAATATTATTATTAATTAAAATTAAAGAATAAATTTAAAATTAATTATCAAAATAAAAATAAATTAAAAATTATAGAATATTTAAAACCTAGAAGTCTAAAATCTAAATAGGGAAAAGTATAGGGGCTTTTCATGAAATTTAACCATTTAAATTAAAACACAAGTATCGGGTGGGTAGTGTAATTTAGCTATGCCTATTAATACATAAACATACGTTTGGCTAAAATCTAATGAGAGAAACTATAGGGGTTTTTCATGAAATTTGACCATTTAAATTAAAACACAAATATGGGGTGAGTAGTGTAATTTAGACATGTCTACTAAAATAGACACATAAGTTTGTCTAAAATTTAAATGGGAGAAATTATGGGGGATTTTTCATGCAATTTAACCTTTGTAAATAACACACAAATAAGTAGAGTTGTAATGTAATTTAACCATTAAAAAATAAAAACTAGAACTAACCTGCAACGATCGTGCAAAGGAAGAAGACGATCGGCGAATTTCTTGCAAAGGAATTTACACGCGACGGCGGTTGGAAACTATCGATGATTGGCGATTGTGGTTGTCGCTGGAAGCAGTGGCGGATCCAGGAATTAAAAAATGGGGTCCAAAATAAATATTATAATATTCATTAATAAAAAAAGTTACATAATTAAAAATCCAAAATAACAATTCATTCAAAATGCACAAAAAAAATACTAAACACTAGAAACAATTACAATTGTTCTCGATGAGCTTTCATTTCTTGAAGTCGTTTTAAGATTTTTTTCATCATCGATTTGGACAAGAACATCTCTTTCTATATAAGTGACCAAACAATCATTTAGAAACTGATCACCTATGCTATTTCGCAACTTATTCTTCACGATGTTCATTTTAGAAAATGCTCTTTCCACACTTGTGGTTGCTACGGGGAGAATCAATACTAACTTTATGAGCAAATAGACTTGTTGGTACACTTGATGCTTCTTTGTCTCGACCAGCTTCATGGAAAGTTCACCCATATCTTTCAATACCCAAAATCTATCATCCCTCCGCATATCAACAATATAATTATCAAGTTGATCATCAAGGGCTAGTTTATCAACACTTGTAAATTCATCGAGATATAATTCAACAAGTCTAAGTATCTTTTGTTTGTCAAAAGAAGAAAATTTATCAAGTGGACTCAAAGAAGCCATACAAGTCAATAACTCTATACTAACCTCATCAAATCGGTTGTTTAACTCTTGAAGCTGAAGATCAATAACTCCCAAGAACACTTCAATTCGAAAATGATGAATATTAGTAGTATCCAAACGACAACGTTTCTTTTTTCCCGAAGGAATATACATAGCATCCACATTAAGAATATCAATGTTATTCTTGTTACAAAATGAAGTGATTGAAGCAAAAAAAGACTCCCACTCGTTTTCTCTCATATTTTACAATCTTTCTTTAGTTAAAGTAACAAGTGACATAGCATTGACAATATCTTGAGCTTTTCTCTGCAAAGCTTTGTTTAATTCATTCATAATCCCAAATATTCTCTTCATCAAGTGAATCATGAAAATGAAATCAAATGACTCTATTGCAAAACTCACATTATCGGCTTTTCGAGCATCATCACCATTTCGAGCATCATTACCAATCAAATCAAGCACCACACGTATTGTAGAATACAAATCAATCACATTCAAAATCAACTTATAATGAGACCCCAACGTGTATCACCCGACCTACCTAAACAAAGCTATTGGTTTAAACCTTTTTCAGTCACAATTTCACCATTTTCAAAGGCTTTTGCAATTTTTTCAGCTTGTTTTCCTTTAGGCAAATCTTTTCGCTTACATGATGATCCAACAACATTCAACAAATCTCCAAGTGTATCAAAAAGCCAACCACAATCTTTATTTTTCCTAGAAATGACAACAAGAGTTAATTGAAGTTGGTGAGCAAAACAATGTATGTAGTATGCAAATTGTGTTTCTCTCATGATTAGAGTTTTGAGACCATTAAGTTCACCCTTCATATTACTAGCTCCATCGTACCCTTGCCCACGAATTCTTGAAAACCTCAAAGAATGCTCATCAAGCAAAGAAAAAATATCTTCTTTAAGAGACAAAGATGTGGTATCTCCAACATGAACAATTCCAAGAAACCGTTCCTTTATCATTCCTTTTTTATCAACATAACGGACACACAAAGCCATTTGTTCTTTTTGAGACACATCACTTGACTCATCTACTAGTATTCCAAAATAATCCTTACCAAGATCTTCCACAATTGCCTTGGTAGTTTCTTTTGCACAATAATTGATAAGCTCTTTTTGAATCAAATGTGCAATCATATGATTATTTTTAGGTGCATTTTTCAAAACAACATTTCCCACATCATCATTCTTTTCCGCAATCCAATTCAAAAGTTCAAGAAAATTTCCCTTGTTACTTGATTCACCACATTCATCATGACCACGAAATGTCAATCCTTGATGTAAAAGAAATCTCAAACAATGAAGAGAAGTAGTCAAGCGGATTCGGTAATCACTTTTAGCTTGCTCGGTTTGTTGGTCTAAAGAAACTTTCAAGGATGACTTAAAGTTCTTTAAATTCTCAAACTTTTGAAAAGCTTGATTATGAGCACTATTAATTCCACCAACATGTTTTCTAAACCGAACTGGCCTATTCCAACCTCTAAACCCATTAACAAAAAATGCATCTCCTCCTGCATCTTTGGTAGTTTCATTCTTAAACAAGTAACAAACAAAGCAAAATGCAACATCTTTTGAAACACTATAATCAAGCCAAGAATACTTATTAAACCAATATTTATTAAAGCGACGTAATGTACCTCCTCCGAAGTCTGTTTGAGGAAATTTGTGCTTCTTTGGTTGGCAAGCACCTCTTTGTATGTATTTTTTCCTCACTATTTCTCGATCCATTGGATGATAATCAATAATTTTTTTCTTTTAGCCGGATCATGTGGAATAGAGATATCATTAACTTGGCTTTCCATCTCTCTTGATGCAAATGTTGTACTATCATCTCGTGTAATACATGTAGATCTCATTTCGGTTTCTTGAGTTTGGGGCATATTATTTGAAGGGAAAGAAAATTCTTGTTCGACTTGAGTTGCTGAAGGTTGAGTCGGTGATGAGACACAAATTGGCACTTGGGAAGAACTTGCATCATTCTTTTTGGACTTTTGAACAAACCAATCCAACGTTCCATTCTTCTTCTTTCGTCGAGAGTTCATCTTTTCATCATTCGTCTTCTTATTACTACAATTACAAAAATTACAAATCACAATAATTATTTATTATAATTCACTATTAGTAATTATATTTATTATCAAAGAAATAAGATCTTAATTACTAATTAAATAATTTAAATGGATTCAACTTAAAAATTAAAATGTCTAAATTGCTTATACTTAAATTACACAAATTTAGTATACCATTTTTTTCTCATTCCCAAAAATACATATTAGTAATTTTACCTATCACAATTTAACATTCAAATATGTTTCATAAAATCACTAAAATCTATTAAATTGATTCAAAATTTAATTTTATCTCTTAATTTTAACTCACTCAAATTTAAAAAAATTCAAAACTTACAAACTCAAATATAAATTTAACTAAATTTAAGAGTGTAAAAGAATGAGTACGAACCTAACTATCTGAGGAAAAGAAATGAGCAACAACTTAATTTCAACAACAATAAAAATTGTGCAAAAAAGTCAAAAACAAAATAAAAAAAAAGGTGTGCAGAATTTTTATTTTTGATATAATATATTAACTATTGGTATTTTTTAAATAAAATGGATATGCAGATGCTACTTTGTAGGCCACATAGGTCCGCCCCTGGCTGGAAGTTGGAGACGAACGACCAATAGACGCGGGTTGGTTTTTTCCGAAGGCCAACGCAAGTAAAAATAATAGAAACAGTCGCAGGTTGAAGGTCGACTCTGTTGCTCCTTCACTGTGATGAATTGGACGACGACACCGTTAGATTTGTTGTCAACTATTTTCCAACGAGTTTTTGACTCCGGGGTGATGATGTTGATGGTCACCCTCAACCCTTAAATAATATAAAAACCTAATGCTAAACAAATTAAACCACTTAAATTAATTATTATATTTTAAGATAAAATAATATTATTAAAAATAGAATTTAATTTTTAATTAATTATTAATTTGAATAAATGCTTATACTTTTTTATATTTATGTGATAAATATAATTTTGCTAGAAATATGTTTCAATATATTATTTTAGTGATAAGTTATGATATGTGACGTGCACGATAGACTAACCCTTTAAAATTATAATAATTTTAAAGGTGAAATTCTAAAAATCTTAGATCGAGATACGATTTTAATATAATTACACAAAGAAAAAATGTAATTTATTTGGAAATTTAAAACAATAAATCGGCATGTGTAGTTACGTAAAATATAGTGAATTTATTAAAAAACTAAAATAATAATTGAATAGTTTATTTTTAGCTAAGTGACTACTCTAAATAACCATTTCCAGGTTTGGTCGCGGAAAACAGAAATCAAGGGCTTTAATGTAAATCTACAGGCTTTCAACTACTTTCTCTTGATTCAGTCAGAGTCCCAACTCCCACGGGAGCTTCGCACTTCTCACTTCTAAGATGACGTCAACATGGGCGTGTTTAGAACGATCACAGACAGTACATATTCGGGCATATATTAGATATTTAGTTTTTGGATAAAGTATGTAAATAGTCTCCATATTTTAAATCTGTTGTATTTTGGTCACTTAACTTTTGAAACTTATAATACAGTGATCAAATTTTTAGTTTTTTGTCTTACTAACGCTAACTTCAGTTAGTTTGTGCTAACGTGACACTTAATTCCCATTAACCCACCCCTTCTTCATCTCCAGATTTCTTCTTCTAATTATTTCTTTTTCTTAGATTGAAAGATGTAGATGAAGATGGATGTTTTATAAAGAATCTAACAAGAAGATGAAGGAGACCAGAGATGAAAAACAGAACAATCAAGATTACTATAATGAAAAAAACAAGAAGACTGATTCTTGTACCAGAAGATGATGGTGGTGGTGAAGGGCTTGAATCTCCATTAAAAGCTGTAGCAGTTAAAAAAGATGGAGGAAGAGGAAGGGGTAATGAAAGTAACCATCTTTTTTGCATGATTTGATGATGATGAACCCAAAACATCTTCAAATGGTTACTTTCTAACATCCTACACATCATAAAATCAGAAATCTGGAACCCAAAAAACAAAACCAAAAATAAAAACTCAAACCCACCTCATTTTTCAAGCCTAAAAACAATGATCAAAACAAATCCTTTCCTTTTCACAGCACAAGAACACAATATTCTCCAAAAACTTCCTTTTCTTCCTTTATATCCTCCACAACCAAAACTCTTTTTCGTTTTAACAACCTATTAAACTAACATAAAAGAAAATTGAGTCTTTGAAAAATTTACCTGCCTTCAAAATGGAAGAAAAAAATAGGAAGTGAAGAAGGATATCTAATCCCAGTATTTATCAAAAACCCAATCTCAAAGTTCACATTTTTTTTCTCTTTTAAAAAGTGAGTCGTCTCCTTCTTTTTCTAGTTTTTGGTGTTAATAAGGGAAAATGCAGTAAAAGAGAGAATGACAGAACAACAACTGCAGTTTCCTAAGTGAGAGAGAAAGGGGTTAAAGTTTGAAGTTTTAAAAAAGAGGATTTGATTTAAGCAGTGTTTGCAAGGTGGGATCTTAAGAAGAAGAAGAAAATAACTTGGAGAAAAAGAGGGTTGGGTTAACTAGAGTTAAATGCCATATCAGCATAAATTAATGGGAGTTAACCGGGATATAAATGAAAATAAATTAAAATTTTGATGACTGTATTATAAGTTTAAAAATTGGTTGATCAAAATTTAAGCGCCTTAAAAATTTAGAGACTATTTATATATTTTACCCTTACTTTTTAATATATATACTTTTATTTTTTTTACATATTTTTTAACAAATTTATTTTTACATATTTAAGTTTAAAGATTTTAATAATATTCTACACAGATTTAGAACAAATGCAGATTTCAATTGTTTGAGTATTGCATAACCTGCTTCAATATTCAAAATCGTTATTTGAATTTATTATATTATTGCGAATAATGAATTTGAGTTTTAGTATCTAGTTTGATAAATTGAATATTTATTTCAATTATTTTAAATATTTAATTAAAATAAATTTAAAAAATAATAAAGTATAATTTTGTAAAAGATAAGAAAAATATTTTTAAAATATATAATATTTTTTAATAGGAAAACCATAGAATCCGATGTAAATATAGATCGAAGGTGGGGATAATCGTCTCTTTTAAAAAAAATTTAAATTTTCATATAAGTTTTTTTTTTTTTTGACAAAATGAGAATCTACTTAAGTTATATCAATGTCTTCCTGGATCATTCTCGCTAGTTCTGCGGGTGATGCATTTAGGTAGTGGAACTCTATTTTCATGGGGTTGCTCGTTTGGTTAGATTATCTGCGATCTGGTTGCCTGCTCTCCGAGAATGGAGAACACTAACGCTCCAGTCATCCTATTATTATAACGAAACCTTGGAGGATTAAATTGTTCATCTCACACGATCCATGAAATTTTTAAGTGCAAATAATGAGAACAAGCGTGATTTAATATATACCCCATAGAGTAACAGGCTCTTTCAATTCAATATATATATATACTCCATAGACTTTTGCTTCGTGTCCGTTAGTTTGTGCTACACTTTTTGTGACGGATACGAATATATATTGATTTTTTTTATATTTAGAGGTTGATATCATAACATGGACATCTAAACCCATTGGCTTTATGATCTTTTTGCTTAATATAAATCTCATTCATTACATCGCAAACCCAGTCGTTCATCTTTCGTTGTTTCGACAGAGAAGCTCAATGTTTTACGAGCTTTCGATCCTTGTAGTTGCAGACTAGTTTTCACACTATTATTTTAGGGTAGTTTATATATGAAAAAATAACCTCAGTGACCGAAAATATCTTATAATATACGATTTTAATCAACTTTTTTTGGATTTGCGAAAATGATCAACAAATTCGCAATGCGAACTCCAATTTCGCAACCCAGAAGTCAAATTCGCAAAGCGCGTTTATTTTCGCAACGCGAATTTTATTTTCGAATTCGAAACACAATATTAATTTCGCAACACAAATGTAAACAATATTATCGCAAATCATAACCTAAAACCCTAAATCACAACTCAGTCCCATCTTTATCTCTCACTCTCTACGACGACATCCGTCCCCATCTCTGACGAAATCCGTCCCCATCTCCGGCGAAATTCGTCTATCGCCATCTCTCAGAGGAACCCTCACAACCATTCACGGTCAGAAATGGAAAATCAACCATCGATGGTTAGTTTTTTTAATCTCTTATTTTTATTTTAAAATTTTTGTATTATTATTAGATTTTTCTTATATTGATGATAAATTTAATGTTAATTTCAATATATATAGATTAACCATTTCACTGAGAATGCTTAGTAAATTCATTCGGATGCTGTCAATACTGCTAAACTGTTTAGTCTTTAACCCTGTAAAGTTAGTAATTGTCTTTGTTTTGTCTTTTTGTTGAAGAAATGCAATTCATTCAAGTTTCTATTTGTAGAAGAATAGTTTTTGAAACTTAAATTCGCAACACGAAAATAAAAATCGCTGCGATTTTGGTGTTACGATTTTCATTTTTGCGTTGCGATTTTCATTTTCACATTGCGATTTTCATTTTCGCATTGCGAATTTAAGTTTCAGAAACTACTCTTATTCTGCAAATTGAAACTTGAATGAATTGCATTACTTCAACCAAAAAACAAAGACAAATACTAACTTCACAGTGTTGCGAATTTAAGTTTCAAGAATAAACTACTACTCTTTATGTTGTCT